GGAGGGGGGGGGCGCAAAACATTAGGCCATGCGATGTTCAGACAATTTGTCGGCAACCCACACAAGCGGTTCCTGGGCCTCTTTCCGCACAGCAAGACAGCCAGAAGCCTGAATCGTACGAGGTAACACGAGGTGGTCGGCTTAATTAGTGCACTCAGATAACCGTTTCTTTGGCTATAAAATATTTACTACAACGAGAATTTCGCTATGACGAATGTTTCGTCAGATGGATCGTAGCCTATTCTGTGTGATGAAGAAAACTTTTCGTTTCAACGAAAGTTTTGTCGTGATTTTGTTCCCACAACGAAACGGTTTCCCGGGTGTGCCGTGAGCACCCCCTGAGGAATGAACAGGGGGGCCAACCAACCCTCCCCCTCCGTGATTGTTCGGGACTGCCAATGGTTCGGGAACCCACTTAGCTGCCACCTTTGAGGATGCTGGGTTTCCGACCTAAAACCGGGATCAGCATGTATGCTCGGCAACGTGCCCCGGTGGAAGGGCCTCGCTAAATGAATGGCTCCGGCCGGATCATGAATCTTGGGCCAACAGAGGCCTCGTTAAGTCAAGACAGGCGTGTAGGAAGTTTGCCTATTCGCACGGCGCCATGCAAGGTGTCCTCCACTAGCCAACCCGTTGCTCACTTGCCTGCGCCCAACTCGCGAAAACTCAAAAACACGCAGGTCTCGGGGAGTATCGCCGTCAGGCAGGGGAGGGTGCAGATACTCCATGCCAACGCGCGTTTGTTGGGGTAAGGGCTTTCCCCCTCAGACACGAAACCATAAATCCTGCGCCTGCGAGTAGACCAGAGCCGGGGATAACCTCCCCAGGATCAAGGAGGGCTGTGGCAGTGGGTCGGAACCGAGCGCGCCGCAATGCCGCGTAAGGGACGTGTTTGGAAACGCGATGCGTTTAGAGGGACGTGCTCACTGCTCGAGTTTTAGCAGCTGAGCAGCGGCTGTGCAAGTTGGCAATGAAGAAACGTGACAATGCTGAAAGACATATTTTTTTAAACGCGGCTCTTTTAAACCTTGTTTCTACCCCAGGTTTTGTTTCTATATCTGCCTATCATTGTGAGAAAACATTGCAAGAAAATAACGTTAAATGAAAGACTGCCACGCATTTCATTTTTTTCTTGTTGGGTCTGGGGGCTGTTTTTTTTTATTAACAAGTCGCTAGGCGAGGTGCACCTCTCTTATATCTTTCTTTGGTCCGTCTGTCCGCAGTGCCCATACCAACACAGCTGACCAACCCCACCATGTCGGCCGGGCCAGTACTCCGCGACCGTGGTGGGCAGCTCTACTCCGTGCCGGCGGTGCTGCGGCTGGCTGTACTGCGCGTGCCCAGAGACACTAGCCGCCACCCCGTTAGAACAGTAAGTACTCCACGTGAGGGGAAATACGCCCCGCCCTGCTTTTTGTTGTTTATACCCCTTGCTGATTCTTGCTGCTACCCCTTTGTTTGATCATATATTGCACACGGATGAAACCGAGGGGGCAAGAACTCCGGGAATCATGTGTACACCTGCCTGGGAATCATCACGATAAAAATTGATCGAAATCAACAGAAATCGTTTAAACTGAGCAGGAAACTAGCAGAACCGGTACTAATTAGTCGAAATAAGCGTTTTCTACCACTAGAAAACCAGAGAAATAAATATTAGCTGGCGGGAATCACTGGGAATCACTGGGAATCAAGTATTTCGGGAATCATGTGTACACTTCAAAAGGGAGTTATTGCCCCCTCGGATGAAACAAGAGTGCAACCGGTAGATTCTTTGTAAGTGGGCAGCTCCAAGTTGTACACTTGTAATGCGCGACTTATGCTCTTGTTCAACATACTTTCCCACTGTGTGCGGCCTAAATAAAGAAGTACGCACTAACAAGTAGTCTTTACCGGTTGCACATTATTTGTTTCATCAGTTAATCCTGTCAGAAAACTTGCTTGGGATCCGATGTCTAGTGCCCTTTGTTACTAAAGAAAAACCCAACTGAATTCGTACTACGACTTCAACCACGAATTTTGAATGCTTCAGAGTTTTCACTTATCTTCGCGAATCATAATGTCAGGCATTTACTGGATCATAGTGGCATTTTACTGGAAGCAAAGCACATTTAGCGCACATTTATTAATAGCGGCATCACTAAAACTGGTTGATGTATTATATACACTCTACCGTCTCGGAGTGAGTTACTAAGTTGTCTCCGGCAGTCGCGCGCGCGGTGACAGTCTCCCGCGGACGCGACAGCTAACCTCATTTCAACTGAAAAGGGGCACAAAAGCGCCCAGAGACTACAAAAGATATCGCCGACTTGTGCCGCGGCCCCTCTGCGCCCCTCGGCTCGGCAGCACCGCTTAGGGCCTCTCTTCTCTCATTACAATCCTGGAGAGGCGGGCCGCCGGGGGGTCTCCGTCCCGGCCGCCCGTCCCGGGCCTGATGGACGCTAAGCGCGCTAAATGGAGGGATGAATCTGCAGCCGGAAACGGTCTGCATAGCAATCACAGCCCTTTTTCCCATTTCCTCTTGCCCGCCTGCGATGACGAGACAGAGGCGGAGGTGTCCGTCCCACCTGGACGCCTCGCCCGCCCGCCCGACTGCTCCGCGGCTGCGCGGCGCGAGACCCGTACTTACGGCAAGTGGATCCCGATCCCGGATCTATGGCAGAAATGGTGTTTAACAACCATTCTCATGGAAATTTGGAAGACGAAATTGTTTCAAATGCTCTTTTATCATACGTATTTGCATTATTTCAGGCACACTGTAAAAAATATTAGTAATTTTACAGTTCAGTGGGCTGGGAATTCGCAACACATGGATTGGAAATTTACTGTTTGGGCTGTAAAGTAG